GATGGTGCCCTCGATCTCTGGGATCTTGCCGGGGAAAGTTAGAGAGTCTTGGGGAATAAGTCTAGGGCCGGCTTGGGGAGAAAATGCCGAGAGAGGGCTAATTATGGGGAAGGATGCTAGGCGAGATTTTTGGGAAGTTGTTGGTGTGACCAAGGCTTACTACGGCACATACCAATTAATCCCATTCTCCTCTTCCTTTTTAATTTTTTTCCTTAGTTCCGTATTAATAACAATTATTATGACCTTATCATCCTCTTTAACTAATTAAAAAATAATAATTAAGTTAATTACATAATTTAAATTAGGTTTGAATTAATTAATCTCTATATATATATATAATTGCAGGCAGATGCATAAAATAAAACATATTTAATAAAACTTTCATAATATTCCCGCACATTTTTTCAATTAATGTAGAAACGTTACATTTTACATTAATAAAGTATAATAACAATTTTAAACTGATTTATTATATAATATTACTATTAACACTAATTGATTATAATTTTACAGTAAATAGTATGTGGAAGTTACATACTTATAAAAACTTGTATTGCAATTTATTTTCTTTAAAATACTTTTTACAACAACAACAACAACAAAACCTTTTAGTCCCAAACAAGTTGGGGTAGGCTAGAGATGAAACCCAATAGAAACAGTGGTAAAAAAAAAAACAGAAGAGATTGGAGCAAAAGAGAGCAAAAGTCAAGGTTCTGGCACGTTGATCGCTAGCCTCCAAGCGCTCCTATCCACCGCTAAATCCTTAGAGATATTCCAATTTTTAAGGTCTCTCTGAACCGACTCTTCCCACGTGAGTTTAGGCCGACCTCTACCTCTCTTGCCATTATCGGCCCGCCGTAGAACTTCCCTACGCACCGGTGTATCATGAGGCCTCCGTTGGACATGTTCGAACCACCTCAGCCGATGCCGAGCCAATTTCTTCTCTCTCGCGATAAAAAACTCTTTCGCCGTCTGCTTCATTCCTCGCACCGTGTTGCCTTCCTCGCCGGCGCACGGCTTCGTCCCGCCGTCGCCCTTGACCGCTTGTTAATTAACACATATTTAAAATATAAATTATGTATAAATTTTATAACTAAATGGTATAATTTTGTATTTATACTACTTTTAGTTGTAAAAATCACACATATTTTATAAATAAAATATGGATTAGTTACACATTAAAATATAAAAACTAAATAATTAGGCAAATAATAATATATTTATTTATTTAATATATATATATATATTATTTATTAATTAATGTTTATTCAATATTAATGATATATCATTCAATCTATTTATTTACTTACATATTATATATATATACATTATTATATAACATATTTATGTGTTTAGTAAATATTTATTTAATATACAGATAAGTCTTAATTAAAATTAATAAACGTGAATCAGTATAAAAAACAACGCAGATGATGATAAAAGTTAAATACAACAAGTAATTAAATTAGTACAATTCAATTATGTAAAAGTTTACAATACAAGTGGTATTAAATAATAATTATATTTCTTTTAATTACTAAATAAAAGTAAGTAAATAAATAAATAATATTATATTATTTAGTTACTTTGTTTTATTTAACTTTAATTATTATTTAACATATAATAAATTTATTAGTAATATAAATAAAAAGATGTCGAATTAAAGATAGATATAAATTTGAAGACAAATTTTTAATATATGATCTTGTAGTTCAATTGGGTAATGGATCTTAACTTTTGCAAGAGGTGCAAGGTGGGATCTTTGGTGTTGCTATTTTTTTTTTTTTTA